CTTTGCTTCAAAGCAAGTTGCTTACCTTTCTGTTGTGCTCCCAGTGTCCTTACAACAATAACCTACAGCAATGTTTTATTTTCCTTTCCATTCCCCAACCAATGAATACTACGATGTCGATTCTATTTCTTCATACTTCGGTGTGTGCCCGCACACGCACGTGTGTGTGTATACCTCACTCGCCACTCGAAGTTCTGTTCCCCATCACTGGAACACTGCCTGTTCTTTCAGGACCTGCCATCATCTGCGGATGGGCATTCAATAATTGTATTGTGTGTGTGTTTCATTCAGAATCAGATCCGCTATCATTGCTATTAGAGAAAATCTGTGGGTTCACATCCAGTGCATTTTTAGATCTGCGTGCTTTTCTCGCCACGGGCGCATACATGGGACATTGTGTGTGTGTGTGCGTCTGTGTGTATGGGGATATTGTCTGTATCGGCTTTTGGTACTAATGTTCAGGTCTGTGCTTGCATGTGTGAACATGAAATTGTTCGGTTCTGTGCATGCTATTGCTATGTTGTATATTATTGTATGTATGTGTGCATTTCCACGAACAGTGTAGACGAGCGTGGAGTGTGCATTCATCCCTCATCAACCACTTCCCCTTGGGCTTACGAGAGTTTTTTCTGCGTACCTCTCTGATACTGTATTGATGCCGGCACCTGTACCTCGATGTGTTCCTCTATCTGCAGTTGCCTTTAACCTTCGGTCAAGTTAACGTTTATTGTGCTCTATTTATCGTGCGAATCAAAATAAACAATAATAACACAAGTCGTGCTAGAGTGACGACATGTGCGTGTAGTAGGGTTGATGCGATGGGACGTTATAATTAGGTGGAACAGAACACACATTGGGCAGATTGATTGGGCATCATTGATTGTGCTCAGTTTAAACAGTGAACATAATAATTATCTCCAGTGACAGACTGTAGCGGCTAGCCTCCAATGGTAGCTGGCACTAGTCGCTACTGCTTGTTTGACAGGTGCCGCCAGAACCCCTGTTGTGTCATGCTATAGATGCACATGCCCTGTTCTGGGGCATACTGAGGTACTTTGATTTTGTTGACTGCATGTAGACAGCATCCAATAGTAGTACTCGTAGACCTTGGCTCTTTGTAGGTCAACCACCATCGCATGGATCGATCGGTGACTATGCACTTGGAGGTTGGAATAGCCCGCGCTGAACAGATCTTGCCATGGCCCAGGGAGTGAACTCGCTTACTCGACTATCCCGGTTTTAGTTAACCAGCATGAGTGGTGCAATTTGTCCATACCATGTTGCGAGCTCACAGTTGTTTGGGCAGGTTTTGAGCTGCACCACGAAACGAAGCGAAATAACGGCGTGACTGTAGAGCAAGGAAGCGGCGAGACGGCACTTCCAGGACGAGACAGGCAGTAGAGATGTGTTCACAGCACGAGCAACCTCTCAGACCCTGCCGGTACTCCACAGTTACAAGAAAATGTCGGACTGGACGACGCGCCAATGCAAACCTGCTACATCCACCCAGGCAGATAGCTGCCAAACCAGGCCAATGTCGACCCACTGCATACCGGTATGTCAATGTCAAACAGATCCTGCAGGAGAAGACTGGGATGATATTGGCGTCCAGTGTACGGACACCAGTCACATTTCCTGCGTCTTTTGCAGCATACAGGATAGACTCATCACTGTAAAGTCCACTACTTCGTGATTTTTATTTGTAGAATACATGACAGGCGTATTCAGTGTGCCTCGCAGGACTGCGAGATGCTGCAGAAGACCAGTTTCGACCTTTCTGGACCGCCATTCACCGACGGTGGGCTACACGATGCTGGAGGAACTAGATTCCAGTGAAAACCCAAGATTCCTTTGCTCTTGGACGCTCCGACGTGTTGTGATATCTGCCAGGTGCGCAGTAACTAGTATTTTCATCGCTATAGCGAGGACGACGCCGATCGGCAAACTCTCGCTCACAGCCATCACCAGCCTCTCAAAACCATCACTTGGCATCCCCCAGAGGTATAGGAGAAAGCCAAAACAGCTCTCAACAAACAAAAGCTAAGGACGATGGAAAGAGAGCATGTCAAAAAGAAGACGAACAGTATGAAGTTCAAATGGGTTTGAACACTCGTTCCACCAACTATACCACTTTCAATAAATCGTGACGCCATTTTGTTTTAACACGCATACGGTCCACTGAAACTCTCTATTAGAGAGGTTTTGCAGAGCGAACGTTCGCAATGATTTTCGCGTTCCGGGTTGCGAAAACTATTGCGAACGTTCGCGCGAAATTTGTGTTTTGCATGTTTTTCGCTCCCAGGAATTTTCGCGTGCACTCGCTTGTTTGAGAAGTGGTCTTCATCCGATTATTTTGTTGTTGCGAGTGATGGCACCCTGAGTCATGGCCTGAGACGAGAGCTCTTTGACTACCTTGTCCATGGCCGGAGACTCACAGACAAACGGGTTGGCTTGTGCCGTAATCTGGCGCATCAACACCTGAAATTCAAAAAGGCATCGTTGATGTAACCGGCTCTGAGCAGTGAGAAGACGAGCAGGGAGGAGATCGGGGATGGTTCCGGAGATGAAGCAACACGGGCTGCCACAAGTATAGGAAAGCTAGCACCCGCGGACCAAGCCAAGAGTAGAGATCAAGCACAAACATGAGGATTGAGGGTGGCTCACCGCGCACGAACAGTCCACAAAGAGCGAACATTACTGCGAACGTTTGCATGTTTCTCGCTCCAAGAAAATTTCGTGTGCGCGTGCACTCGCTTGTTTTTGAGAAGTGTTCTCCATCCGATTATTTGTTTGTTGCGAGTGGCGGCACGCGCACCAGGTACCCTGAGTCACGGCCTGAGACGAGAGCTCTTTGACTACGTTGTCCATGGCCGGAGACCCACAGACAAACGGGCCGGGTTGGCTTGTGCCGTAATCTTGCGCATCAACACCTGAGATTCAAAAAGGCATCATTGATGTAACCGATTCTGAGCAGTGAGAAGACGAGCAAGCAGGAGATCGGAGATGGTTCTGGAGATGAAACAACACGGGCTGCCAAAACTATCGGAAAGCTAGCACTCGCGGACCAAGCCAAGAGTAGAGATCCAGCACAAACATGAAGATTGAGGGTCGCTCACCGTGCACGAGGCTGACCAGCGGTCCACAAAGAGCGAAAATTACTGCGAAAGTTTGTTTCGCGTTTCCCGCAACTTTCGCGTTCAAAACTGCGAACGTTCGCACGAAGTTTCGCTTTTCGTGACGTCAAACGAAAATTCGCGCGAACGTTCGCTCTGCAAAACCTCTCTCTGGCAGTTTCGGAAGGTAGAATCTTCTCACAACGGCAACATCCGATCGAGAAACTGACACATAAACTTTTCATTTGTCTTCGCCGAAAATCACGAGGCGAACCTGTGCACCTCACCTACCCGAATGTCCCATGATGTATACCATGGTAAACAGAGGAGTGCAGTGCTGGAATCAAGCATGGCAACTAATGTTACTTGGCATGCCTCAACTAACTAACACTTTACTTACTCAAGATCTCTTCGCAGCTTTGGCGATCGGTCAAGCTTCGCACGATAGGGGACAATTTCACAAAGGTTGCACTTTGACCTCGAGCGGTAGGAGATGAAAATTGCTTATGAAAGAAATTAGCTGATATGATCGCGCAGAAAGCGGAGCTCGAGACTCAGTCAGGGATCAGTCATCATGTGGAGAGAGAGAGGTCACAAAGCTCTCTACAAGTACAAGCAGACTCGGAGAGAGGGAGATAGTCGCGGTGTGGGACGATGAAGAACGGGCCATATGTCCTGGGAAGTGCTCAGGGCAACCATGCACCAGGAGATGGCATTTGTAGCACCAAGATTTGAACTAAGTAACTTGAAGAGCTGCGCAAGTCCACTCGCGTACTCGCGTGTAGTTTTGGCAGCACCAGGCTACTTTTACGGTCGCAGTTTCCCTGAGAACTTGCGGCTAGAAGTCAAACGCGACATTTGAGCAAATCACGACTCGACTGCTGAGGATCGAGGAACACGCCTACAATGAAGTAACCTTCCACTCTACAAACCTAAGAAAACGGTGAGTTCAAAGTTGCCTCTGCATGTACATCGTGTAGGACCAGATCCGTCCAACCCTGTCTTTAGCTGTAAAACGAATATGCCCCAGCTTCCAGTTGTCCTATTCGTCGTGTTATTTCTCCTTCTCTGCTCATTTTGTATTCTCATATTCTCATCCTGACTGTACAAAATGGAAGCCTTTGTAAGCCACTGTAGAAACAGGCGGCATTTTGGAAGATTTGAAGCAGGGAGTAGTACAATACATATATTGTACTACGCCCTGATTTGAAGGACCTGAAACAGCAGATTAGTGCACTTTCATCAACAATCATTTTCGGTCGATTTGTCGGAACAACCTGTTAACTTAATCGGAGTGCTTCCGAAAAATCCGAATGAAACAAGGGACAGCCTTGTTATTACCAAGACTATGTATACTGTAACACAACCCCATCCCAGTTGCGCACTCTGGGGAATTATGTACTCTCAATATTACGGATATCCTACAGTCCATTTCAAAACTATAGACGCCTACCTAGGCAAAAACCGTTATGCCAGCATCTATACCACATAAAATCTGTGATCACTTTGTGCATAATTTTTTCCAAATTGGGCGTCTGTTATCCAATCGTTTAGAAGCTATATGAGAGTAAAGCGGGATTCACAGAAGCTTTTTTTGTGATGCGACACGCGATGCGACGCGATCTGCGACGGACGCGTGCGAAGCGAACTCGCGAAATGCCATTCACAGAAGAAGTCAGCGATGCGACAAAGTCTTGCTGATTTGGGTACGTCACCATGATATTCGCGCGGTTTGATACAACTTGTACAATTTTTTAGGCAAAATGAACCTTTGTACAACTTTGCTGTAGAAAAGGTCAAAATCGTACGCCAAATCGCTTGTCGCATCGCATCGCATCGCAAAAGTTGAGCCAAGCTCAACTTCTGCGATGGCCTGCGATGGCCCCACGGCTGTTCCCACTTGGCCATCTAACAATATGGCGGCTTTTGCGCCGTTTTTGACAAATCCCAACGGTATTTTATAATACGAAGCGAATTATTACATTTTCACATCAAAACCATGACGAACCGAATTTTTGTACTTGCTGACACGCGCGTCAGACGCGTTCTCGATCGCCTCGAAAATATTGTGAGGAAAGAGATTGAGATGAGAACAAAGGAAACAATCTGAATTATTTTGAGAGGAGAGAAAGCTAAAAGAGCTCGATGGAAGGCCGAGAATTTCAGATAGGCCAGCAAACAAGATGCAGAGATACACTAACTTTACTGTGAGGATTTCCTCTTCCTGCTGACTGGACGGAGCGACTCGTGTTGTGGGAGAGTTGCAATCAAATGCGTCTGTGCAACAGACTTGAGGCGCTCCAAGGGATTGCGGATGGCCTCGTGGTGTCTCCTTAGCTCGTTGAAGCGGGCGTGAATGCTCTCACTCCCTTGCTCTGCGAGGAGACCAAGACCAACGCCTCGCCGTCGGATGGACGGCACGACATGCACCTCCAACATGTGCAATTTCGGCGTGATGTGGCCGAGCTTTTTGCTGACGACGATATCTCGGCATGCAGTCATAAATGTCTCCACCAAGCCTTCTAGCTTGGATATGGTGGCCTCGTCCACAGGCCTGCAGTGGCTGAAGAGGGCAGTGCACTCGCCATACAGGGACATCAGGTGCTGGTAATCCTCATGAATTCGATTTGCCTCTGGGAGCAGCAGAGCAGCAGCGGCGCACGAGAAGCTACTGCAGATAAATGTGCTGGGGTTATTTCAGTTGTCACTGCTGGCTGAAGAGCTATGTGCACATGGTTGCCCACAAAAGCACCTCCATGGTATGCTTGCCTATCGATTCCATTGCGCTGGAAAACTGGCTCGATGCTTGCTCAACATGGCCCCTCAGACTTTTTGTTCTGTTTTATTGCGGCCATTTGGTCGGTGAGTGACTGTCTCCACGCAAGCAATACAGTACGGCGTGCATCACCATTCTTCCACTGGTCTTGTAGGTGTTGTGTCACGCTCTCCACTGTGGCAGCAGGTATCAAGCTGAGAAAAGAGAACAGTGTACTGGACTTGCTGCTGCACTACATGTAGTTGTTGGGTAACTGCAGAAATCTCCTCATCCGTTTTGCTGGCTTCATGCAGTGACGAAAGCTTTTCAAAGCTGCCAGCATCACCAGCTACTGCTGTAGCAGCAATGGCTGCAAGGATGACAGTGGCAGCAGGAACGCCTGCAGGAGCGACAGTGGCTGCAGGAGCAGCTGCAGGGACGGCAGTGGCAGCAGGAACGGCTGCAAGGACGGCTGCAGGGACGGCTGCAGGGACGGCAGCAGGAACGACTGCAGGGACGGCTGCAGGGATGGCAGTGGCAGCAGGAACGGCGGCAGTGGCAGCAGGAACGACGGCAGTGGCAGCAGAAACAGCGGCGGTGTCTGCTGTAGTAGCAACGGCGGCAGGAACGGCGGTGTCTGCAGCAGCTGTTCTTCTGGCAAGCTCAATGTCGAGGGCTTTGAGCTCAGCCTGAAAAGCAGTCAGCATCCATGGGAAAATACCCAGATCCAGATGAAGAGCCGGGATTACAACATTCTCCTCGGGAATAGGTAAGATCACTGGACGTATGCTGTTGTTGTAGTTCTTTGCATTCTTTAGATTTGAGCCACTGTTCGTGAATCCAGTGAAATCGTTGTACAGAGTTTCTAGTGTTCTGCTGGTAGAATCGGCATCTTGGTTTAGGGCTGGTGGAATGTCCATATTCTTCTTCTGACATAGACAGTGTAAGCATGGTCGGTGCCACTGGACCCCGACAAACCATATGCTTTCGTTTGATATTCGTAGTCGCCAAAGAAAAACAATTTGAACGACTTGTTCTTCCATGTTGCTGTTGTTTGCAGATCTCTGACCTCGTCACGATAGACTCCTAGCGCGGTTTCAAGGTTCGATGGCGTGTCTTGTGCCTCGAAGATGCAAATCGGGATAGTGTTGAGGAGTGAATTCGGCCGCTGCACATTCACGATCTGCAGGACAAACTTGAAAGATCCTCCGCCGTGATCACCACCGAGTTTGATCCACAGTGGACGGACCAGTTCGCAAGCAGTTGACAGAACAGGTCGCTTGGCTTTGCCAGTTCTGAAGCACGCAGGGTATGTTGGCAGGCTGGACACTGCGCACCGTTGGTTAATGTTTGGCATATGCATTTCGTGCAAAATACTCTAGAACAGCATGGTGACCGAACACCATTGCTCGGCATGCTGCGGCAGATCATGCATTGTACTGTGGCTGCTGCACTGCTGTCGGCAAATCTTGACATAGTCAAATTGCACTCTGCTTCATAATCAGGTGCAGATATGTCATACGCCTCACTTTCAGGTATATCCATGCTATTGCTAGATGCATAGGGTTTACCGGGTGTTAGCGGCCGTCGTGAGTTCCCTTCGGGAACGGACACGATAATTTACTTTTTACTTTGATTGCTAGATGCACATGCACTGCTACTGCTTGATGTCATTTTTGCTGCATGCTCCGCTTGCTGTTTTTATCCGTTTGCTTGGTCGGCCACCCTTCGATTTTTCTTGAAACTTGGTGCAGACTCTGCAAATCACAGGTTCATGTCTTTTCTAACTAAATGTTACCCCTTGTCCACAACCACCGCCACTGGGATTGAACTTCTCTGTGCTCTGTGATCTCTTCAGCACTCTTTGGCAAAGAGCACAGATATATGTTGGGTGAATGGTAGGGTCGTCATTACAAACATCAATACTGAATACGTTTTTCATCGTTTCAGTGTAGTCAGACACTGGATATCTCGTCTGTTGGGAGCACGCAGTAAATTTTGCGCCTCCAACACGGCATAGATGCTGTAAATGCGCTGCATGGTGCTCCATGTCGTGCGATGCGTCGCAGATGTGCATATCTCTCACTGGAAACAGAGAAAAGTAAAGGCCCATCGTATTTTTGATTTCACCATCGTATTCAAAAGAACTTGCGAAAATATAACGGACAACTACCCGAGGATGCGAGGAAAACCTCGAGTGGTGACTGAATAACTCCAGAAGACGTACCACGAGCGTGATGAAGGTAGCTAACAATATACTGACAGCAATTTCAGTCGATAATTCCACTGCGCCAAAACAGAAAGCAACTTCCTTCTCCTTCGTCCGATCAAGGAATGTTTGGTACCAAAATGTTGCTGTGCGCGTCAGCTTTCCACTCCCGCGGATTTAGTATCAAAAATGTGGGGCTAGCGGCGGTAAATCGCGGAAGAATGATAGCAACTCACCTTAATCTCAACGTAAAAATGATTAATCTTTGATTTTTTGCAAAAATCAGCGGGTACCCCCCGCCATGTTAGATGGCCAAAAATCGCTGGCTGAAACAGCCGTGGGCCCAGTTGCGGAAGTTGTGGGGGGTGCGACATGGCTGCGATTTGGGGTTTTCCCGGTTTCGCGCCTGTCGCATCACGTGTCACATCGCAAGAAAAGCTTCTGTGAATCCCGCTTTATTGTGGAGCGGACCTGAGCAATATTCCGAAAACTATTCTCAAAAAGCTCCAGCCAAATTTGAAATATTTCAAAAACCCTATGCATCTATAGTTTTGAAATGGACGTATACCCTGTCATCACGCCCGGACTGAGCCACACGGTGAGCTATCACTAGTGACATAGACATGGAGTGGAAAAAAACACATGTCACTTGAGGAAATTATAATAATCCTGCCAAAAACGGATTAAAAAAACGGTTTGTGGGAAAGAGTCAGTTTCATGACTCGATATCTCCATTAGCGTTATTCTTTCGGAGGTTGGGAACAATCTAGTTCTTTTTGAATATCAAATTCAATCACATTTCGGTGGATGGCCTCACTCAAGACCTTTGCAATGAGCTGTCATTCGCGTGAATTGGACAATCTGCTGCAAACTTGTGGTGCATTTAGTGGCATGGGTGCATGAAGTTGACCAAGGTCGGAAAATTTGAGGGGGGGTGCTTGAGCATCCAAAGCCCCCGGCCCGGGTACACCACTGCAATGTGTAGCCAGCAGACGGTTTTTGGCAGGGAGTAGTAAATACCGATATTTTACGACTCCCTGGTTTTGGGTGTTGTGTTGTGAGCAGGGAGTCATAAAATACCGGTATTTTACGACTCCCTGGTTGTAACTTGTGAGCAGTGTAAAATGGCTGCAATGGAGTCTCTGCATGTTCATCCACTTTTGTAGCGTACATGCACAGTTTAGAACTTCAACAAATACCGGTATATCTGAAAAGATGCGTGATCACTCTGTGGGCCTGTGAGTAGACGCAACACATTCTGTGAAGGTTCTGCACCGTTAGTCTATTCTCTGTGGCTGCAATAAAAGCGGGTCATGAACGTGGCTATGGAATGTGTCCAAGTCAAAAGTAGTTGACATTACTGTGTAATACCATGACTGTATGACTCATCGTAGCAGCACATGATGCAGAAGTTGTGGCGATGGTTAAATGCCGATCGGCGTGCAGCAAGCATAAGGCCTGGCGCATAACTGGACACTAAGGGGCCATCCGGCATTGGCGATAATTTTCACGGAACGAAAAAGTTTAGTTTTGACCCTCCCCACCCATCCACCCCTTCACCGAAAAATATATTGACCTAACAGCTAGAATGAATTGATATTTCAGCTATCGATATTTTTCGAATCGAAACTCTCCCCAAAGCACCCACCCATGAATGAAGCTTTTTCTCTTCGTGAAAAAGATCGACAATTGCGGACGGCCCCTAAATCTGGGCAGAAAGTTCATCTTCTCGGGGATTCTATTCGTTTTTTTTATCTGCTCAAAAAGGCTACGTAGCACACTCATAACACTGTTTGCCAAACAGGCCAAATACACAAACAGTAGAACTGGTTTTAGCTAAGGACTTTCTGCCTGCCTGATGATCGGCACACGGAAAATATTATGCAAGTTCATCTGACCTGTAGATCTAGAGATGGAGTCCAGGATTGTCCAAAGATAGTAGTGTACATGATCAGAAATCCTAGCTTGCAACAATTCAACTTCAAAGTTCTGATAATCAACTAATTTTCGCTGGCGATATAATTTCGCTGATTTCGCCGCTGCGTACCAACCGGCCAAAGTAAATCCCCGGCCAAAGTTTGTCATAGAGGCAAATGATGCATGGATGCATGTGAGAGCACCAACTACTGATCGATTTCTGGCCAAAGTTTAATGATGCCAAAAGTTTCATTTTGAGATCGGCCAAAGTTTCCCACCGGCCAAAATTTGTTGATTTACAGTAAAAGTATCATATTGGAGTCATCATTGGTCAACGAGGTACACGTGCGCATACAACTGCAGAATAGGAAATACAGGAATATCAAGACACATTTGACTTTCATGCTGTGGAATGTCTCAGTACTCCTTGTCAGTTTTGTCCTGGATTGTGCACGTCTGACAGTTCAAAATCTGGTTTAGTTGGTGGACTCATAACTTGTGCCCACACTTTTTTCCATGTTACAATTTTTTCCTTGGCTCACCATCTGAGTTCTTATTACACATCAAGATAATAATTATTAGCACACAGAGAGACGAAGCCAGTTGTAAATCTGATGAGTCCTTTCGTACTATTACTTCTCAAATCAGTACATGATGATGTGACGAAGCACAACGATGTCAATTTCTACAGCATGTTGGCGGAAAAATTGTGATGAAACGTACAAAAGCCGAATGATGGTGTGTGTTGCTCCAAAGAGTACAAGAACTATGAAAAAATGTGTTGTGCTCCGTCACATTATCACCATGACAAATCAGTACATTGTACAGATCTGGGGCTCTGTTTTGAGAAGTAATGGTACGAAAGGCCTCATCAGATTTTACAACTGGCTGCGTCTCTTCATGTGCTAGTACGTGTCCCTCCGGCTACTGTAAAACGGCTAATTTTAGCCACGATGATATTTTGGCAACTTCAGCAAAAGTGGTGTTTTCGCTAAAGTTTTGCTTTTTGCCAATCGAAACTTTGCATGTACCGTACACTACCAGTCATTTTTCTTCTTTTTTTAACGTCTGAAACTCGGATCGCTAAAATATTTCATCGTGAATTGGTCCAGATTCTGAAAACGCTAAAAATGTTACCCGCTCAGAAAATTAGCCGTTCTACAGTAAGTCTCTAGTAGATCAAATAGCAAAACATGGGAGGCATAGTGTTCTAAATGCTCAAATTTGCAATGTTACCGTTGTGCCCATACTGGAACGATGCCGTTGCTTGTTCCCAGGTGAAATGAATACAGCCGCTTTTGTGCACTTGCCTCCCGCATACCTCACTCAGTAGTATGGTGTTGAACAAATCAACTCTACGAAGCGTAACCCTTGTGTTGATGTCCACTCCATGGTAGCATGATTACCATGGTCACCAGGCGCATGCGCCGGTGCCCTTCAAGGGGGGTTCTGGGGGGCTCCCCGGGAAAAATTTCAAAAATGAAGCAAAATCCTGCATTTTGAGCGAAAAAAGGGGGGCTCCAGAAAACTACTCAAGAAATCTACCGGATCGAGAGAGTGCTCTGAAAGGACAACAGGAAGAAACAAGCCCTTGTGAGGTGGAAAGGCTACTCGGTGAGATTCGACAGCTGGGTCCCGCTTGAGGAGCTCACTTGGTTGCGATCACGGATCACGTGGTACGGTAGGGTCAGGTTAGTAGAGGAGGAGACAGAACGAAAGCAGAAATGTTCAGGGCTCACAGTTGCGTAGAAAAGCATCGATTAGATGGGGGTGGCGCACATGCTCCAAAATGCCAGCTTCACCAATCAGCAGTCAGCATTTTGAAAAACAAGAAAGCATTTTTGAAAAAATGAACAATGAAAAGCGAGTCCCACCTCGGACACTGAACACAAGCGCTCACAGCAGCTGCTCAGTGCAGAAGACCTCGGCGACCGCAAACCTACCCAGTTCTTGCGACGGATGGAGCAGTTGCGAGGCACTACCAATATCGACGACACTCTGCTCTGGGAGCTGTTCCTATAGCGCATGCCCGCACAAGTCCGTGCCATCCTGGCTACCG